TCCGCCCTCGGTCTTGTAAGCGGACTTCCCCGGGCTAAGTCGCGAAGTGTCAGTCCGTTCACGTTTGTTTATTTCCTTAGCGACGCATTACCAAAGGCTGACGCTTGAAATGAAGAATACAAATAAAAAAGGATGTCTATGGGAAAGAAAAAAAAAGTCACAGATTGGCGTGAGGAAACCGTGACGCTAACACTCGCATGGATGCGAGGCGTCGGTGAGAGCGGTGGGGAAGCAGCGCTTTTGTGGCGAGAAACGGAGACTGCTTAGGTCAGCCACTTGCCAAGCGCCCGAATAGAAAAAGGGGGGGGGGGGCGCGATTGTATCCGACGTGCGCTATGTTGTAATCGCCCTGGGAAAGTACTTTGCGACATCGCCTCAGTGTAAAAGGTGGCGGCGCCTTTCGCTCGGGGAGCGGAATTCTTCGGGGAGCAGCTCGTTTTTTTTTTTTTTTTACGGCTTCTGTTTAGGTTTGCCTGATTCTTGACAGCGCAGCGTGATCGCTATGTAGACGACGTTACATAGGACACGTGGGGTCGCCACTTTGAGCTGTAGAAAAAATTTTCTTAATTTTGTAGTTCGCGAGGTGAATCAATAAACCCGTTAGACGTCCATACAGCAGCCCAACCCTTTTCGTGCCTGCGCTTCTACCGTAGCACTGTTCGCTTGGTTTGTTAACATTTAAAAGGGCAAGACTGCAGCCCAGTGGGGGTCGCAGCAAGTCCAATTGGTAAAACGTCAAAACGTGGCGCAGGACACGCGGACGTCAGCTGCACGTTTACGAAGCGGGACCGAATAAATGTCTTGGTTCTTACGTATATAAAGAGGTCAGCTATTGAGCTTACTTATACGGTACAGGCCTAACTACATCGGTTGAACGGCGCTGAGATATGGCTAGGAAGGTGAAAGGGAAAGAGGAGACGTTGAGTGAGATAATACCAATAATTACTGGTGCCTTCGGGCTAAAACAACGCTGTCATTGTGATGCACGCCGCAGTGGCATTCTTGCAATTATTTTGACCACCGTGAGTTCTCTAATGCGCGTTGAAATCTAAGTGTGCGGTGTTTTTTTTTTTTTTGCGTTGATCGTTCTCATCGAAATGCGGCTGTCGTGGTCGATGGATGGATGGATGGATGGATGGATGGATGGATATGGCTGTACCCTTTATATCGGGCGGTGGCTAGCGCCACCAAGCCGTAATACTTAATGAACCAAAAACTAGATTTATTTTTTTTCTTTTAAAAAGTGAGTTTGAGGATTCGTACTTTGCAGTGAAGCGTTTAATTTTCACTCGTGCCTTGACTTTAGCCACCAATCAGATAACCTTCTTCTAGTTAAGTCTACCCGCTTAAAGTCTATTTTGCCCTCCCGGTCCCTAAACCCCAGTGCTTTGATAAAATCAGCGCCATCATCCTGAACTATAGGGTGAAGCCCTTTACAGAACATTATCAAGTGTTCGGCAGTTTCTTCTTCCTCTCCACACGCACTGCATACTGTGTCTACCCCTTCGTATTTGGCCCGATATGTCTTGGTTTGCAGTACTCCCGTCCTGGCCTCCAACAGTAGAGAACTACCCCGAGTATTATCATAGATCCTTTCCTTGGCAATTTCCTGCTTAAAGGTTCGATAGGTCTCTAGTGCGGACTTCTTAATCATGCCCATTCTCCACATGTCAGTCTCCGTTTCCTTCACTTTCTTCTTAACCGATAGTTCTTTTTGGTTTGGCCACCTGCTGTTTTCTAAGTATTTACCAGTCAATTTCCTGGTTCGCTTCCGCCATTTTGTATCGACATTCTTCATGTACAAGTAGCTGAAACCTTCCTAGCCCAACGCTCCTCCCCCATTCTCTCAATCGCTTCTCAAATTTTTATCTTGCTGCTAGCTTCCCTGCCCTCAAATGATGTCCATCCCATATCACCTTCTAGTCCCTGATTTGGTGTATTCCCGTGAGCTCCTAAAGCAAGCCTACCTATTCCACGTTGCTTAATTTCTAATCTTCCTTGAACTTCTGATCTCATGCACAAGACCGCATTGCCGAACGTCAGCCCAGGAACCATGACCCCTTTCCATATTCCTCTCACAACATCATACCTATTGTAATTCCACAGTGCCCTATTTTTCATCACTGCTGCATTCTTGTTACCTTTAGTCGTCACGTATATTTCGTGTTCCCTCAAGTACTCGGTCCCATTGCTTATCCATACGCCCAGATATTTGTATTTATCTGTTATCTCTAGCGTGACCTCCTGTATTCTAAGCTCACTACCTTCATTATCATTGAAAATCATGACTGCTGATTTTTCCTTACTGAATCTGAAATCTAACCTATCTCCCTCATTACCGCAGATGTCCATCAATCTCTGCAAATCTTCCTTGTTGTTGGCCATTAGCACTATATCATCTGCGTACATTAATGCTGGTAGTGCCTGATCAATGAGTTTTCCTTGTTTGACTAAAGAGAGGTTGAAGCCCAGTCCACTTCCCTCTAATTTGGCCTCTAATCCTTGTAGGTACATCATGAATAATAAGGGTGACAGGGGACACCCCTGCCTAAGCCCCCGTTTTACTTAGAAGTGTGGCAGCTTGGGCTAGTTGGTATGGCATTACGATAGTTATAGCGCGAGAACAAAACGACAACACAGAGACAAGAAGGACACGAAAGACACGAGCGCTAACTTCCAACTTGGAAGTTAGCGCTCGTGTCTTTCGTGTCCTTCTTGTCTCTGTGTCGTCGTTTTGTTCTCGCGCTATAACTATCGTAACCCCGTTTTACCTCTGCAGGCTTGGATACCTGTTTTTCCCACTTTATAACTACCTTGTTACCTTTATAGATATCCTTTAAAAGATTAGTGACTACATGTTCCACGCCTAGTGCGTCCAGTATTCCCCACAATTCCTCTTGAACCACGCTATCGTACGCTCCCTTGATATCCAAAAATGCTAGCCACAGGGGCCTGTGTTCCTTTTTTGCTATTTCTATGAACTGCGTCAGTGAGAACAGATTGTCTTCCAGCCTCCTGTATTTCCGAAACCAATTCTGCAGTTCTCCCAGCACCCCCTCATCCTCTATCCATGCCTGCAGTCTTTCCTTTATCATCTGCATCGCCAGCGTGTAGACCACTGATTCGTAGACCATCGAGAAGCGAACCAGCAGCGCCCTCTAGCTTAACAGTCCGACACCTCAGCTGCTCGAATGGCTGGCTGACAATTGGTTGTGTTCGTTCATGATGAAACAAAAATGTTGAACTTCGCAACCAGGACAACGACTAAAAAAAAAAGTCGGTGAGGAGTTGTGATTGCGCAAATCAACATTTTTTCGCTCACCTTCCGAGCTACCGTGTCGTGTTGGAGAGATAGAGAGCGCGTGTTGGAAGGGCACGGAACGTAAATTGCCTAGTTTGCAACCTTACATGCTGGTAAGTGAACGAGAGGGACGGTAAAGGTACGAGTGCAGACGGTTCACAATTATCGTGTGAAAGCCAATATAACCGGTGCATATGTGTTATTGATGGTCACCATGTGCTGTGGACTGGTGTAACTAAGCTACAATAATAAACAGGGGAAGACGTTTCTACGATTCAGCAGGGCAGAAAACTGATATTTAAGTTAAAAACTGAACAAGTCTTTCGGAAAGATGAACGGAGTGCAATGCTTTACTTAATATCATCGCACCATTACACTATGGATTTCATTGTTCCATCTTACGCCATCAAGCGTATTTCGTCCGGATCGCATCTCTAAACTTGCGTCAAATAAAGTTTTTTTGCTGTCCGTTATCCGAAAAAATTACGGATGACACATTGCTTATTTTTGTGCTTTGTATATCTGAAACTCATTACTATCTCCTATCGAACACTGTTCTTCGATAAGTTTATTTTAAAAACAATTGACTGGTTGCTCACTGAATTTCCTTGGCTATATTTACTCATTGACAAACGATATTTGTTTAACAGATTTTGTTTGCGCTCTATCATAACACAAGTTTTAGTGCAACTTTGTTATGATTACTAATGGACTTATTTTTACTGGTAATCTTTCACAGGCGTCACGGTGTAATGCTGTCGGATTTCATCTGCATGTTTATTCCGCATCGTATTTTGTTCTAAGGCCTGAAATAGACGTCATTCTGTTCATTCTCATTGAAACGAGAAAAGTTACGGAGCGAGATAGTGAGATTCTTTTACGAATAATGGCTACCTTGGCCTGCTAAGGCACCTAGCATGATTTTCCGGATGGGTATTTGCGAACAACGAAGCGATATAAACAGTGGGCAAAAGATACAGAACCTATGGATACGCTCGATCGGTGAACGATAGGGTTAATACAAAAGTTGGCGTGTGTTTTCGCTAGGTGTATTGTTTTTTAATAGCACGCATTCTATCTTTCTTATGGTGAAATTAAGGTGATTAACCCATAATTTGTGAGAAGTACGACAGTGAGTTTTTGCATTGAATCTCTGTATCACAATGTGATTCTTAGCTCCGCGAAGAGTTGACAGCAATTGCGTACTCAACAGATAACCCTTTGGCAGGTATGTGCCACCGAAACGGGACAAGGTCATTTTATCACCCTGGTCCGCTAAAACTGAACAGAAAAAAAGGGACTAAATAAAATATATAAACAGAATAATAAATCAATTAAGAAATGTACAAATGACCGAAATGGAGTAATAAATTAAAAAGTGAACAAGTAAAGTAAGTAAATGTTTAAATTGGATAAATTGTAAACACCTAAATGACCCAACGCAAATCTAGCAAACGAAGGTGGACGGGCAGAAATGCAAAATTTCTGTGCCTTTTGGTTCCTTTCATCAAAATTAATTATGTGTCACGGGCAGCCTCGCTGGTCATCCACCTTCATAGACTGAAATATATATCTCCCCCTTCTTGTCTTCCACACTAACAATGTTGGGAAAGGCTCGGTCGTCGATCATTAGACTTTCGTACACGATACGGACTATTGTAGTTATAACTCAGTTTTTATTATTTCATTCTCAGTGCCTGCCAAGCTTTGAAGGACCACCTCGGACCACGCTCAACGCGTCGGCGGGAACCACGCTGGTTTTACGATGCGACGCCGAGGGCGACCCGCCCCCTGTGATAACCTGGTGGAAGGACGGCAAGCGGGTGAGCTATTTGTTTCTTTATTTTTAATTTATTTATTTAATAGTGGGATTGTACAGGCCTTATATGGGTTCGTAATGGGCCTCTATGGTTCTTCGAGTGTGTGAAGTTGATTTGTGTTGCAGTGTCCATGTTTACCATTCTCGAGAGAACAAGCGCTACGTATCCTCTTATCGCTTCCGGTATTGCTAATACGCACGTGTCGACTGTTGAACATATTTTTGTCCGTGCGATATTTGAACATATCTAAAGCTTCATTTCCTATTGTTTCGTTCGATGAAAAAAATTACGAAGGAGGGCCCATGCTACGCTTAACATCGATTCCCAAGATACGTTGGGTCTGCCGAATTTTTCATTGTTTCTGCATTATGGCCATTCGCCAAACCTCACACATCAAGAAGTAGACACAACTTCCTGTCCTGTCGTTTGCGTTGCTTCAAATATTATAGAACCATACCAATTATCCCTGCTGTCGACCGCGATACAGCACTTCAAGGATCTGCAAAAAGCTTATATGGAGTTTTTTTTTTTTTTTTCATGAAAGTCTTACGACCCCTACTTATTGGGTGCTAAGGTAGTTCTCATTTCCAAAACTCAACTTTGTTCAGTTACACGACGCTCAACCACGGACACTGCAGAGTGCGCACACTCGTACTGTCTGTTTTGCAACAGCGTCTTAATGAGTTAATTAACTATGTATGTGTTCTCGCGGACGGTTCGGAAATACTGTAGCATGTCTGTGCTACGGTTCGTCCTGGTCTGTGAAATCGCTCCCGTTCACGTTGTTGGTGAAGTGCAAGCATTGCCTGGCTGCGCCCACCGTGCGCACGGTGTCATGGTAATGCTGAATTTCTCTTTGGTTCTTTTGTTTTGCTTTCCTGCGCAGCATCTGAATTCTTCGGAACTGTGACGTGTACTCGTTGCTGCCTATATAGTGAAACTTGGCAAACCCGTTTCTTTAGCTGTGGGCTTCTCGTGTCTTAAGGTTTGCTTTGAAAGACGAAAAAAAATTAGAGCATCAATGGAAAGAGGTTGTCTCGTTGGAGCCCCTCTTCCAGGGAACCACTTGCGAAGCTCGCCTGGTTTTCTTAGCGGAGTCATGTGATCTATATGGCTAATCGAGCGTATATGAAAACGTGCACCTGTTATTCGTGAAAATTCATCTCGCTTTGGAGGTGATAACAGAACGGATACGGAAGCTGTGAAATGGGCAAGGGCAAGGAAAAAAAAAACGCCAGATCGTATAAACGTGCACGTAGAAGATGGACCATGATTGATTGAAAACGCGCTTTGTTTCGTGTGTTGCGGCGCCGACTGAAGTCGAGAAAGGGAAGCAGAAATGACTGCACTCCACGCTTCGAAGGCGTACGTGGCCAGCAATGTGGTATCGCCCGATCGAGCTGACGAATCGAATTGGGAGGGTTGAGCAAGCTTTTCCGATTTCGGCTGCAAAAACCAGCGAGAAGATCGGCAATTCTCCGGCGTCGGTCTGGCTGTTCAACGTTTTAAACGAGCTTTCAACTTGCGGGGCGTCAGCGCCTTTACCTGCTGCCTCTGACGTAGCGTTGACGCGAATCAAACCGAAGGCCTTGAGTTCGGCAGGAGAACGACACAGTTGCACCGCTACTGTATCCTTTGCGAAGGCACTGTATTCCCGGAAGCACAAAAAACAATGGTAACAGCACTCAATCATGGTTACCTATTGCTCAACTACTTCCACTAAGCTCATATCCGACGCAGGCCGCGTCATATATTGGCATCATTTATCACTCGGCTTCTCCTTCCTCCGTTGAATGCAGTCGACGTAGTTCATTTCGGCAAGCTTTTGTGTCGCGTCTGCCGTACTCTCCGCTTCAGTTGCTCGCCGTAATAAACTAAAAAATTTTCTAGACTTTTCTTCTGCTAAGAACGATTTGTATCACACTCTCATCGTTAGCGGTGTAACGCGTCGCTTCTTTTGAACGCCTCAGGCGTCTCGCTGCTGGAGGTTGTCGAGTCGACATCTAGAAAGCTTTCAAGTTGGCACACGACAGCGAGAAAATAAACGAACAGTATGAAATAGCATCTTACGGACATCTGTCAGTGACAGATCAGGCCTAACTTGCCCTAACGAAATTCGTTCAAATAAAATTGAAAGGATGTAGAGGCAAGCCCGATCCTACTAAACACAGCAACGGGAAGTTGGACACCAAAAATCGTCCTTCCAGTGATCATGCCGGACACTGGACCTATGGTTGGTCAGTTGAGTAGGGCTGCGACCAAGACATGCTGTCAAGCTCTGGCTCGGAGCAAGTGTTTTGTAGCTTGGCGCGCTTTGATTTGCCAACCCCGAGTGAGGCGAGAGTGCGTTATTGGACGCAGACGGTTTCTTCTCCAATTAGCGACCTTCTATGACCCTTTGCACCTTCTATGACCCTTTGACACTTTTTTGATGCTCGAACAAAGTACGAGTGCGTGGCGTAGTTGTCGAGGGGACTCGCTCGCTGGATTCCGTGCCGACTGGTTGTGCCCTCGCGATCTCCGACGTCAGCGTAGCTCCGGCCGACTGGGCTGGCCCTACGTCATCTCCTGACGCCGACCTCCGACGACAGCGTAGCTCTGACCTACTGGACTTGCCCTACGCCAACTCCTGACGCCGACAAGAGCTCTCGCTAGTGGTGCCCCGTCCTCGGACTCCTGTGACCGTGTTTCCATCTTTCCTATCTCTCCAATCCCCTTGATATGTCCTCGCTCGCTGGCTTAGCGCATGTATATATATATATATATATATATATATATATATATATATATATATATATGTATACCTTTAATTCTATCCTTTTAATCTCTCCTCACCCCCATCCCCTGTGAGCAACTGTTGAGGTGTCGTACCCTGATGCAGGCAGTTACGGGGCTCACTTTTCTCTTCTTTTCCATCTTATAACCACTTCAGTTGTCGAGGCACTCGCTTTCGGACCGGGCATACCCTCCTTAGAATCACAGCCTCAGAAAGAAAATTATTTTACTTTTTTCAACAAATAGTGTTTTTGCCTCCTCGACATCTCCTCCTTCTAGCATGGACAAGGATGAGCTATAGCCTAACATTACTGAAAACAAGAAATAAAAAGTACAGTCACAACAACATACGAAGTGGTGTCAGTGCACGAATGCAGTGCGAGCAAAGCTATGGTACAGCGCAGTGGACTGAAGAGACTAGCCCATTACGCGCGCTTTCGGAGAGGCGAAACGCTCGGGCCCGATGCTCCTGCTCGGGAAACAGCGACGAGACTGGCCTTCGCGGAGAGCATCGCTTGCTTCCCGGGACTGCGTGACGTAATACCTTCCCGAATATCTCCGTTTTTCATGCTCCGTGGCTCGCACGAGCACGCCAGAGCACGACCCGCTCGTGCGTGGTTCGCAGCGACGACGTGTATCGCTTTCCTCGACGTCGGAAATGACGGCTTTCCCGAGCTATCCCTACGTGCACCCGTCTTTCCTCGTAGCAGCTACTCGTATCCAGTGGCTCACGCAACTCGTTAACCGTGGTGGTCTACATCCAGGTTGCCGAGATGGCGTGATTAATTATACGTCAACGTTCGTCTGAGAAATCGGGAAGGGGTGGGGGAGGCTCGCGTCTCGTTGGTGTTGCTTTTGTTCATCCAGCAGCAAAGAAGAGCGCGCGAGGGATGCCGGCCGCTCATATAGGTTCCCGCGTATAGCTTGACTAATGAGCGCAACCACTTCGAACGGGTGGTATGAGGCGTTCGCGAGACGAATGATGCTTCTCCGGCCGGCTCGTTCTGCCCGGGAAAGCAAGCTTGGTGGGGGATTTCTTTTTCGCGACGCCGCGTCTTGCGCGGAAGCCGATGTAACGGCGATACGCGGGTAACGGTGCTCCGATCGTCGAAAGTGCGACGCCCTCGAGCGTCTATTAAGTGCTGCTTGTTCAGCAGGCCTTCGTGGGTGAGCGTTGCAACGCCTCCTAAGAAAAACCGTGGGAGTGATTAACTAACTGCAGAAGTCGTGTTCGGGTAGCTTATATTTTGTGAGTGAGTGAGTGATTTAGTGAGTGATTTAGTGAGTGATTTAGTGAGTGAGCGAGCGAGCGAGTAGGCGAGTGACAAGCATACCTGCTTGCTTCATGCTGCGTAGAAGTTTGACTTGATGTGAACGCCCAGAGGGGAGCCAGTCATAGATGATTGACATGTGGGGTCGAACTTCTCAAAACCACCTATGATTTTGAAAGATGCCGTAGTGGAGGGCTCTGGAGAATTCGACCGCCTCGGACTCTTTACCGTCCACCCATATCTGAGCACATGGACGTATACAAGTACTTTTGCCTCCATAGAAAATGCAGCCGCCGCAGCCTGGATTCGATCCCGCGATCTGCGGGTCAGCAGCCGAGTACCTTAGCCACTAGACCACCGCGGCGGGTTAGCCATTTATAGTAGCTAGGTGAATAAACAAGTGAGTTCAGCCTTCTTTCTGGGTGGGGCTTGTATTTCGAAGTCATGTCAGCGAGGTTGTGAGCCGTGGCTTAAATCGCGGCAACACGAAAATTGTCGTTAGAAGTGACCCGTACTTTTTTCGCGTGTTTCTAAAAGTGTTTGTGTAGCGCTTGCCAATAAAAGAAATCCTCGACTATTATGTTTAAATCAGAAATTCACTCAGATAATGACGGCGAGCAAAATGTATGTTTCCCCTTTTCAGGAGGCTGACAAAAAAAATAAGGGTATCACTGCAGATAGAGTATCACATCCTTTTAAGTCTACAGTAATATCACCTAAACATCACAAATTGTTACATGAGCGTGAAACATCAATACAGATGTATATGTACAGCAGTACATACAAAGTTTCACATAAAATGTTTATTTTTATGTGGCATCTGTAAGTATATATCAGGAATAGTACAGTTATACAAACGTGCATGTCCTTGAAGTGGCTTATTAATGTCGATGTTTATGCACCAATATCACCATAAGCAATAAAAAAAAAACTATGTGACGCAGTACAGACAACGAA